CATAAATCCTTCAAATGCAAGGTTGGTTTTACTTCTTAAATTATTCTATCGACACAGACATTCACATGGACAGTCTGGTGTAATAATAGATTTGTTTTGGGTGTTTTGTGGAGTGGGTAAGACTGTTTTTAGTGGCAGGATAACTATGGCCATTGACATGCACTAGTCTAGCACCAGCGACCTCTGCAAATACAAGGACTGGATGGAATATTTTAAAAAGTGTCTCCAACACTCTGACTCACTAGGAAATGAGGCCCTAGGTCCAAAATTTCAAACTCTCCCTTTAACAGCTCCTTTTAGTTCAGTAGAGATCAGCAACTCCAATGCTGAAATTATCCAAATGATTCTAGTGAAGGTGTATAGAGTTTAAAAGCACAACGAGCCCTTCCTGTATCACCACACGACATCACAAGGTGGCACAAAGTTTTCCATCTGAGAGAAGAACTCAATAAAATATGCACGGTTTGTGTGTTAAACATGTGTGAATGAAACAAAAAACAACTCCAGGTTTGTTTGTGATGAGGAAAAAACATACCGTATTTTCTGGACTAATGAGCGCACATGAATATACGCCGCATCAACAAAATTTTAACAAAATTTTATATGTCGCAGGTGTCCATGTCTTCAAGAGCGTTTTCGAGTTCGGGCCGTCTGCTTTTATCGCCTCTAAAAGTTTTTGTCGTCTTTTTGCGTTGAGTCGGTTCGTCACGCTGCCGTCGCCAAAATCTCACCATCGACTCATTGATGCCGAGTTCACGTGCAGCAGCTCTGGTTTCCTTCTTCCACAGACACATCAATCGCCGTTAACTTAAAAGCTGCATCATCTGCATTTCTTTGTGTGTTTTCCATGAGGAGGGTGTGTGTATGAAGCAGCAAAATAACTGTTCAAACCTTCCGCTGCGCATCACCTCCGTCTCTGCTTGTGCTCTACTGCGCATGTCTCCTGCAGAAAGAGTCTCTGGTCTGTCTGTATCATGTCAGTGTCTTGTAGGATTTCAGCAGATTTCAGACTCTCTCGTGGGCGGGTTTAATCAGGTTTGAGTGGATGTCCGGCTACTGAAGTTTGAGACATTTCTTCTCGTCATTCACGCACACGGGTAAGACGTATCCCCCACACTAATGTTCATTTAACATCATAACTTATTTTATCACACTCCGATAAACTATTTGAGTGCGCTGACGATATCGCGAGCTCGTGTAGCAGCTTCATGTGAACCCTAGATCCATAGACCGTATATATGAATCGACAATGTGCCAAACAAAGAATCTGTCCATATATTCGCCGCATCGTTTTATTCGCCGCAGGGTTCAAAATGTGAGAAAAAAGTAGCCGCTTATAGTCCAGAATTTACGGTAATAACAAACCAGAGAACAGTGTAATATGGGCCCTTTAAAGCTGCACTGTGTAACTTTTCTGGGTCTGTCAAATGCTTTTCCCAATGGGGATGTTATTTCTTTGTCTTGAATGTTTCACAGTATGGTATTAAACCTTTCTATCTTCAATGTAGACCAAGTTACAGGCCAGATCTGTGGAGAGGCGACCCCGCTCACAGTCAGAATGGGATTTTTCTAAGCATTTTTGCGCTATAAACCCATCTGTAATTAAATACATGTAAAGTAGAGCTGTTTAATGTCACACTGTACGAGGTAGAGTGTTGGCACATCCATAGAAACGAGCAGGTGACGGACCCCCAGCCGAAAAGTTACACAGTGCGGCTTTAAAATAACCTGTTGACAAAGTTACTTCAAGTTTGTGTATGGACGTAACTTTCCAGCTCCCTCCGTGGCAGCCCTCGGATACTAAAAGAGATTGCGCTCTCGTGTAGGTACATTTAATTTAGTAGAAAGGAAATAAAACGTTAACAGTCCAACAGTAAAAAGCAAGAGGAGGATGTGAGGCTCGGGGAAACACAGGGGAGGGAGGAGAGGTGGTCCGGCTGAATTAACTTTCAGGACACTCTTGACACCCAGGAGCCAATCAGATTTTCATTAACTGGCAGTGGGACAGGCAAAGCTGGCACGAGCTAATTAACCTCTGGAAGTGTCAGTGCCAAAGAATCACAGAGGAGAGGTCCAGGGATGCCAGTTCGGAGACGCGGGGAAGGGAGGGGCGGGTTGGCGAGCGGCGTACCCAGGCAGAGGGCTCCGGGTTGGGGCAGGAGTTGGCGTGCGCAGGGGCCTGGTGATTAGCCGAACATGTGAATATGGAGATAAAGGAGAAGAGCGACGAGGAAGAGAGAGGAGGACTTGTGTCGTGTCGGTTCTCGGGAAAAAGTCTAGCGTGTGGTGGGTGTTTTGTTTGTGGTGTGGAGTTCTGCACGTTCATATGTTCCTGCATAATTACACAGTATAGAAAATAGCTTTACAGAGCTATAAGAAGAATACTATTGTGCGAGAGATATGCTAAAAATGTAAGTGCAGGAGCATGCATTTACACTTACTTTTTATTCTTCTACAAGTTCACTGGAGCCAAGCGGAATTTTTTTTCAGTATCTACATATTTTATTATATTATGTTAGTCTATTGATTATTTCAGGGACAATCTTGTTAAGTTGAAAAGTTTATACACACTTTTTCATGTACCGTATTTTTCAGACTATAACTCGCACTTTTTTTCATGGTTTGGGTGGTCGTGTGACTTACACTCCGGTGCGACTTATATATAAAAATGTTCACACTGACAGCCACGAGAGGCTTTATTTAGTCTTGTGTGTCAGTATCTGCTGCTCCTATTACTCCTGTACCACTGTCACTTCACGCTCTACTGCGCATGTCTCCTGTAGAAAGAGCCTCTGTCCTGGTGCAGGTGAAAGTTTGGAGTGAGCGAGAGACTTGTGAGGGACTGGGGGAAAGCGGGAATGGAGAACACAGCCTCACGGCGACTGGGTTAGTGCGCCATGCAATTTTCTTGGAAGTCACTGGATGAATCGACAAAGCCTGAACTTCAGTGACACCAAAACCATCCTGTCGGGATTCAGAAAGGCCGAAATAACTCTAAGTGGAACTGATGCTGAGTCTGATGACAGCGACACAGAAGAGGAAGCGGCGCTCTGTTTACATCATGGATCTATAGTTTATACCTGGAGGTCGCGCAGAAGTGACACCGAGGATGAAGAATTCAGTGGATTTAGAGATTTGGAGTGAGATTGTGAGTTTGGTAAACTTATGTTCTGTTGTTTATGCTATAATTATCTGAAGAACTCTTAATATGTTACGTTAACGCTTATTCAGTCTGTTGCTCTCAGTTCTGTTGTTATTACTTTAACTTGCCTTTCAAGATGAAACATTTTGTTATTGATAATTTACACAAAACTTTCAAATTGAAAATAAATATAGGCTACAAATATGTACCTCATTTTTGCACAGTTTTGCGATATATAAAACATAAAATTAATATAATATATACTTTGAACATGAACTAAGGCATAGAAAAACATAAAAGTATCCAAAATAAACTATATATCCAGCTGTTCTACAATCTCTATATTTAAAAAAATAAATAAATAAATATACTTGGGTTATATAAAAAATATCCCAAAATAAAACTGTCTTGAAAAAATCATGTGTTTTTACATATATTTAATATTGATTGTGCTTTTAATCAAGAGTGATGGATGAATTTAACTAATTGTTTATGGACCAAATCTACACTGCACTGGAAAAATGTTACGCTTTATTTTGGAATTGTACTTTTTACACGTGTTTATTGTAAATAATGTGGATGAATGAAATGTGAAATGTGCAAAACAAATGAACCTACAGGTACGAATGAAGCAACCCAACCTAACCTAATGTTTTTTATATCATTTCTACTCAATTATATGAGTTTGGAGACCGTTTGACACACAAATCAAAATCATTTAACTGCACGGCCTTACTTAATCTTAAACTTCTTTATACAGTCTGATTTTTACTGAAAGCATCAAAACTCTCAACGACACCTGAGGAATGAAGCAAACAAAAATGAACCCAAGATTTTATTGTCTCATTACTGTAAGAAATAAACTTTGTTTCTTGTGCTGCTGGTTGTGATGTTTTGAGTAATTGTTTTTTGGTAGCACTCACAATTCCTCAGAAATAGATTCTCAGAAAACTTAAATTACCATTTCAGGGAAAAAAAAATAAATTTCAACAATAACATCTGAATACAATGATGATTGTTTTTTTCTTATATAAATATATTATAATTATATATGAATTATTAGTGTGGAGTGAATGAAAAATGCTCTGTAAAGCGTCTTGGAGTGTCCAGAAAAGAGATCTATAAAACTGAAGCATTATTATTATATTATTATTATTATTATTACTATTATTATTATTATTATTATTATTATTATTATTACTATTATTATTATTATTATTATTATTATTATTATTATTACTATTACTATTATTATTATTATTACTATTATTATATACTATTTTACTATTATTATTATTATTATATTACTATTATTATTATTATTATTATTATTATTATTACTATTACTATTATTATTATTATTATATTATTATTATTATTGTTGTTATTATTATTGTTATTATTATTATTATATTTGACACCAAACTCTTATTTTGTATTTATCATAACATTTATATTTTTGCTTTTTGTTATTATATTGTATTATTTATTATGTTGTGTGAGCTACTGTGTCCAAGTCATTTCTCTTGTGGATCAATAAAGTTTGTCAAAGTCTAAACCAGTTTTAGTGCCGAGCGTTCCCCGTCCTCTTATGGAATCTCGAGGCAGCAGCAGATATTTTTGCTTGGAAAAACTATGAAAGTGCATTGGACATTCTAGTGACGCACTGGTACATCCGTGTTATACTGTATGCTTGTATGTTTTGTTTTTATTCTGGAAATAAAAGTTGCCGTTGATTCATTTTTGACCCTCACACACTTCCAAACAGCACGTCAAAACAGGCCAACAGCTCGATCCGAAGCTGCTCTGAAACTCGGTGCTCAGTGCTGTCTCCCACACTGCAGCAGGTGAGTCTTACCGTGCAGGTCGGGCCGGTTGGAGGAGCTGGCCTCTGCGGGGGACGAGCTCTTGGAGCGCGAGTTAAAGGGTGATTGTCTGAAGCACTCGTCCAGAAAAGGACTGAAAACACACAAGACATGAGACATCAGACTGCTGCTGTATCTGCTGCTCTTCTCTCAAGCAGGGAAAGTTTATAAAAGGCAAAAAGTCGTTCTAACAGGCACTTAAAGGTCCTATATTACACTATATTGACACTTGTGAACTTTAAGCCATGTTATAAAACATACTGGAGTTGTGTTTTGTTTCATTCAGACTAGTGCTGTCAAAAATGTTATGTTATTAATGTTCATGTAAAACTATTTTAACAGCGTTCATTTTTTTTTAATCGCGAACTAGTTTTTTCGTAAGCTGTGGCGACGGCGAGTAACTTTACAAAAACTACAGGAAACGAAACAATTTGTACGAGGAAAACACGAAGTAAACTCCGCTCCAAAACACTTAAGTTTTACAGGTTCTCTCCCGGCTGTTCTCACTGCTCCGAGCTGTTATTATGTTGTTTTATGTGTTATTATTACCGTATTTTCCGGGCTATTAGACGCGCTTTTAAGCCTCCAATCCCATCAAAAACGCTTTTAAGCCTCCAATCCCATCAAAAACGACCCACAATCCAGAGCGCCCTGTACGCGAATCCACTCGGGCGTCCCAGTACGACTTCAGTAAACTACAAAGCCGCACCACCCGCAGAACACGCAAACACACACGGAGCAGACAGCGACCGCGCGGCGAAAAACACCCGCAGCCACACTCATCACTCCACGCCGACGAGGAACGGAACGGAGGAACGAATCGAAAAAGCGAGTGCACAAACAAAACCACTCACCCATCCAACTGTTGTGCTTCCTTTAGAGATGCGCGGATGGAGGTTACAGCCGCGGACTCCGCAGCTAAACCGCGGGTCGGGCGGATGACGTGACGAAAAATAATATTTTTATTAAATTCGTGCGGGTGGCGGTTTCACTACTCAAATAAAAAACTCTGAACTCGGAGCAAATGGGAGGGGACCCGAGCGGATGTCGGGCGGGTGCGGTTTTGAAAACTGGTTAAAAACTGTGGTTGCAAATGGATAGCGGGCGGATGATGAGTTTTGCGATGCGGTTGCGGATGAAAAAGTAGCCCATCCGCGCATCTCTAAAGTCCGGTGCGGTTTATTTGTGAAAAAAGTTCGTAAATAGACCATTCTACGACAGTGCGTCTTATTATACAGAGCGCCTAATAGTGCGGAAAATACGGTATTATTATTATTATATCGGTCAGGACTCATAACTGTCTCACTAGTTCATAGATATTTCTGCCGCTGGACTTATTTTCTCCGCTAAAGCTTTAGATCTGCTGTGCCACATGTAAACAAACAGCGACGACGTCAACAGGCCTTAGTACAGCAGCGTTGGGGCGAGAAACACGCTCACAAACACAGTTGCGATTAAAAAAACATTTCCGCAAAGCCTATCCACTTTTCTATGTTGATAAGAGTACTGAAATGATTATTCAAGAGATTCATATGTGATTAATTATGACATTCATGAGATTAATCACAATTAAATATTTTAATCAACTGACAGCACTAAGTCAGACGTTTGAGTAATCCTGCATAATTAGTCTTTCTACATCTCAAAAGCTCAAATTACCTCCTTGTGATGTCATGAAGCCGTAGTTTTCACGTTAACAGCTCCTTTTACATTTGGTTCAGAAGAGATTGGAAATTCAAGGGCCGAAATTATCCAAATGATTCTAGCGAAGGTGTGCGGAGTTTTCATTACGACATGAGTGTTTTCTGTTTGAGGGGAAGAACTCAGATTAAATACGAAGGATTTAAGTGTTAAACAAACAAAACACAGCTCCAGGTTCATGTTTGTGATGAGGAAACAACATTACAAACAAACTGTAGATCGGAAAAGAGTGTAACATAGACCCTATAATACATACTTTTAACATTTTGTTCAGTAGAGTTTGGAAATTACAGAGGTGAAATTATCCAAATGTTTCTAAAGAGAGTTTAAAAATAGCAGTGGAGAACGTCATGTATTACCACAGGACATTACAAGTTGGAACTAGGGGTGTAACAATATCCTAAGTCTCAAGTAGAGATGGGCATGATTAATCGATAATTGATCATTAAGAATTTCATCGATTACATTAATTTTAATCGACAAACCGAATGTATGTTGCTGTGTGTAGCGTGACCAAACAGGGTCTGTACATGTGTCTCTGCATCAGAAGGAGCGAGACACAAACATTCAGTCAGTCTGTAACGAACCGAAGCACAAATGTGTATTTAACGATGATTTGTACAAGAAATTCCACGCTTTCCGTTGCGTTCGGGACAAGTGGGAGGTCATGTGCACAGTGTATAAAACAGCACGTTTCGGTGTCCAGTGGGAAAAAGTTTTACCAGGTGAGAGTCGCGCAATGTCGATGACGAGTCCCCACCTCCCTCCCCCCGTACGGTGTCCTGGTTTTGACAAACGCAAATATGGTCACACTAACCTGTATTCACCTGAGTCATGTCTTTTAATCCAACAGAAGTTGAACCACATCAGCGACACAAGAGCTGTAGTTTTATCTTCGCTTAGTTTATGCAAATTAGCAATGAGGTTTTAAGTTTCGTTTCTGTGAGATTTGAACAAAACTGAATTAAACACATTATAATGTCAAACGGGCTGATGTGGCTCTAGAGTCGTTACGGTTTATTTGTCGTAAAGTTGAATTTATTTATTCAGATTAGTAGTGCAGATAGTAATAATAATGATGATCATTTTAATATAAAAACATTAATGATTAATCGATAATCGATTGTTAATTCTTCCGACGATCGATTAAGAAAATTTCATTGAATGCCCATCCCTAGTCTCAAGATACAATATTGTCACCGTATGAATCTCACGGTATGATATTTATTGAGATATTGTTGGAAAGCTTACGATATTTTGTTGAGGCTCACGATTAGGGATGTAACAATATCCAAATCTCTCTGTTTTCACGATCTCGCGGTACGATATTTATTGCAATATTTTGTGGAGGCGAACAAAACTGTGGACTTCTGCATCTTGGATCTTTCCTGTCAATTTTTTTCACTTTGAATTTTACACTCTGATTTTTGACTGTTGAATTTGAGGGCTTAAACATGTTTAAACACTTTGGAAAATTTCAGCAACTAAAATTCAGAATAAAAATAATTCAAACATGTTTTTTCCAGAATTAAAAAAATTCAAAGTGAGAAATTCAACGGCATTTAAAACTCAGAATCTGATGAAATAAATTATCTTCCATAGATTTATAGACCGAAAAACACGGTAATCCAAAGAACTAAGACTTAAAAGTGTTTAGAGCTATTATTTCTTCTTGTAGTCTGCACTGAAATGGCGCAAAGGATCATGGTCTATGTAGTTCTCTGTCTTTTTTGAGCTATTGCTGGACCATAACTCTTAATTTAAGCAAAGAAGACTTGTAATTTGATATATTGTGATGGTCCACGATATTATTGTGACAACTTTGACGATACGACATCACGATATTTCAGTTTTTGTTACATCCCTAGTTGGAACAGAGTGTTTTCAGTTTGAGGGAAGACTTCATCTGAACTGTTAATGTGATTTGTGACAGTTCGAACAATGCTTGTGACTCACCTGTTTTTCCCCACCATGTTTCCGTCTTTATGGTTGTTGGCCTTGCTGACTTTTTCTGAAACAAAAAAGCAACACAAGAAAAGCAAAAGTATTAATTTCTTTCATTTAATCAAACCAAACAAAGCCACAGTGACTTGAACTCCCCGATCCCGGCGCCGTTAATGCAGTGAAGTTCGGATCAAATTTCCCTACAGGAACTTAATCTCCTGTAAGCTTTGAGTAAACGGCCGTTAGCAGCTCGCTCCCTCCTCAGAGTTAAACATAATGCACATACATAAAAGCCCTATTATGTTCTTGTATGCCAGCCAACGGTGCCCGCGCGCTGTAGGTTGAGCTGTGCTAGAGAAGCGCAGGTCGGTGCCAGCGGGGTGCAACGGCCATCTGGAGTGGTGGGTGTCTCTCGCTGCGCCCGCCTCGCCCTGTGGGACAAAAGTTAGCCCCGTGGTGGAAAAAAATTTGGAGAAATAGAAATAATGGATTCCACCACGCAGATGGTACATGTGGGTTTTCGTGCAGCGATGCCCTGGTACCTATAGAGCGGAGCTGTTCAAAAGAAGTGAAGTTCAAAAGTGACAAAGTTTGAACGTTTTAGTATCAAGTCTATTTGTGTATCTCGCAGCTCAAAGGTCCCGCATTACGCAAAACGGATTCGTCAGCCGAGTTTTAATGCCGTTACCGCTTCAAAAACAGAGCTGGAGTTGAGTTTTGTTTCACTCACACAACAACAGCACAACTAGATAAAATGTGCAAAACTGTGTATACTGAGAATATATCCAGAAGGTTTATTACAGACAAAAAAAACAAGCAAAATGACTGGATTTTTTTTGGATTTATTACATGCCAGAAGAGCCATCGCCCTGAACTGGAAAAATATTGAAGCCCCCTCAACAAAACAGTGGATTAAGGAACTTTCAGAATGTATCGGCCTTGGAAGATTGACATTTATCGCAAAGGGAAAATGAAAATAATCTGTGAAATTATGGGAACCTTATTTGAATATCATATCCAAAATAATAGAAATGATGTGTATGTATAATAATATTTTTGTTGTTATTGTTATTGTTCGGCATTGGTGGTAGTGATGATAACAATAATAATACTTAATTTTTATTTATTTTTATTATTGTTATTATTATTTATTTGTCATTTATTTATCAATTTTACTTTATTTTATTTTTAATTAATTAATTTATATTATTTATTATTTATCTATTTTTTTTTTTTTTTTCTCGACCCATTTTTATTCTTTAAAGTTCATATGGTCACTGAATATGAATCTTTGACTTACCTGCGACTGATAAATTGTATTGTGCAAGTATTGTTTAGTGAATATGTGAATGTGTATGTGTGTGTGTGAGTGTGTGAAGTGGCCTGTTATATATATATATATTTTTTTTTGTTCTATGTTGACCTGTGTTCATGTGCACCTTTTTTTTGTCTGAAAATTAAAAATATTGGAGAAAAAAAACAACAACACACAACTAGATTTTACTTTTAGTTCAGTAGTGATAGGAAATTCCACAGCTGAAATTATCAAAATGATTTTAGTGAAAGTGTACAGAGTTTAAAAACACAACGAAGCTCTTAAAGTATTACCACATGACATCACAAGGTGGAACAGAGTGTTTTTAGTTTGAGAGATGAGCCTAAACATGCAGGGTTTTGTGTGTTAAAAGTGTGTGAAAGAAACAAAACTCAACTCCAGGTCTGTTTGTGATTAGGGGTGTGCAAAAATATTGAAATATCGATATACCGTATAGTTTAATTTGATGATACAGTATCAATATCATGGGCTACTCTATCAATATATTGTCAAGAGCATTTTAAGGTATATTTTACAAAATTATTATGTGTAAGAGCTACAGTTGTGCTGACATTTTCACTGTTTTCAGTAAAAACTTTTCATCTTGCACAGACTTAATGGACTTAGTATCAAAGCCATGATTTGGGATAGAAACTGTGTAATGAGTGCAGTGTGCAATAATGGGAACTGTGCAATGAGTGGAGTGTGCAATATTTTTATTGTCTGGCCCCCTGTGACCCCAGCCCCTTGAGACAACAGATGGAACACGCTCTGTCCCAATCAAATAAATAAATAAATAATTAATTAAATGATTTAGCCTTTTGTTTTTCACTGAACTGTATCGAATCGATTTGAAATGTATCATATCGAATTGTATCGAATCGAAAGTGCACTGTATCGAAAAGTGTATCATATCGTTACCTGTGTATATATTGTATCAAATCTATTATTGTATCTTAAAGGTTGTATAGAGGATTTTTTTAAGGGAAGAGAAATACAGCGACAGTCCTTGTGCGCATTCAGAATTACTGTTGAAGTTTCCTGTCTAGAAGTAATTCAGCGACCAACGCGTCAGTTTTTAGACCCTTCGTCTGCTTCGGTCGTGCCATCGCTGGACGAGATCTCCAAGAATCACCTCAGTTTGGCTTTGCTCCTTTTCCCCTTCTCTTCGCCTTTCAGCAACCTCAAAAACTGACTTTCTTTTGCGGCGAACCGGTCGTGGATTCTCGTCCGCCGTCGCGACAAACTTTGTGCGAAATGCGAGGAAGCGACAGTTCGAAAAAGCCTCTAAGAACCACTGCGTAAACCACGTAATCCCCGCGCTCCGAGGAGTCAGTTATACTAGGGAGTTTGATTGACAACCTAACAGCCAATAGAAAATGAGGGAGCCTCGTTTTCTATTGGCTGATGTTTATCTGGCTTCACTACGTCCACAGTTGATAGATTTTCGTTCTTTTTTTTTTTGGTCATCATAATTACAAAGCTGCTGCAGCTCTGTAATGGTATTTTAATCTTTCACTGACAGTTTGAAACAAAAAAAACCTTTAATAACACCCAGCCCTATTTGTGATGCAGAAACAATATTATAACATAAATGAGAAATATAGCTACAGTATGACACTTTTCTACTTTTGTTTTTGTTATCTTTTTTTTTTTTTTTTTTGACTCTATTTTTGCATCAAGTTTATAGAGAAATTCAATTTCAGTGCCAGCTCAAACATTGTTATCTTAGCCATAGGTATAATATGCCCTACAATGGACACACCGCCAGACTACAGCTCAAATCTGATCATATTACACCAATCTCCATTATTGCAAAGAAAATGTACAGGTTATAAATCTAGAGCCCCTTTTCTCCATGGAGACGTTAATGCTTTGTCTGGAATGTTTCACAGTATGGCATTAAACCTTTTTTATTAAACCAAACCAGACCGAGTTAAAGGTCAGATCTGTGGAGAGAGCCAGAATACCTGTTTTTCCAAGGTGTTTTTAAGCTATAAAACCACCTGTAAATGAATAAATGTAAGTTAGAGCTGTTTAAAGTCACACTGTGGAACATTCTAAGCGGAGTAATGACGTATCCATAGAAACAACAAGCAGGTGACGGACCCCCAACCGAAGAAGTGACACAGTGCACCTTTGATTATAGGTTTGCCTTGAGCCAAAACAAGAATATCTGAAGAAAGAAAAAAAAAGCAAATTAAATAGTTATTTCCTGAGACTTTTTCATCAATATTTTAAAAGTTTCTTTGACATCAGACGTGGGATGAAAGTGCATTTCTGTATGACTGTACTCTGTAAGTCAAGCCGTCGAGGGTCAGTCAAAGCCAGTGGCCTACCATTTACAACAACGCAACGCACATAGTCATGGTCCCATTTGTGTGAAATTGAATGGGCCAAAGAGAAAGTGTATTTTTCAAGTAGAATAGTATCATTCTATAGCTCTGTGTAATGCCACGGCGGAGGTCAGTACTCACTAAGTGCTTTTAGTTAGAAAATAAACTGTCTCTTGTATGCCATTTTATGCAGTTAGTCATCGTATATATATGTGAATATTTCTATTTTCAGAAACGTAAGGGAGCGGTTCACTGACTTTGTTAATTGTATCTTCTCCATTTGACCCGTTTTTCAGTACGTGAGGCGCAGTGGGCGACCGCAGCACCCAGAGGAAACTCACAGGGCCCAGGGATTGAACCCAAAATCTTCTTGCAATGAGGTTTAGAGTTGTAATGTTCTTCAATTAGGGCTACGTGCTACTGGAAGAGGTATAATGTGTGATATGATGTCTTGCTTGTGAGTAAAAACGACAAAATATTTGATCAGAAGTGCCTTTCGTTTAGACGGTGACGGCGTTTTTGGGGCTTAAAAACGCAAAAATTTGAAACCACCCTCCAGAGCGGAAAAGTTGAATACGCTCCACTGTAGCGTTTCCGTCCACACTGCCCAAGACGCAAAACTCTGGTCAGATCTGCTCACGTTTACGTCACATAACTCACCCCCCAGCGTCACCGCCGAGCCGCCTGGCATGCATGCATACCCAATTGAATTCCACACACATTTTGCGTCACCGTATGCACGCAGATTTCCTCCCGAAAACGCTCGTCTAAACGCGGAATAAAAAGTGAAGATGCTTCTGTTCTGACCGTTGTCATATAAACGTAGTCTTAGATTGGAGATCACTGGGAATTCCAGGTGTCACAGTGGAGCGTCGTTGTGTCTTTATGCAAGGCACTTCACGTACATTGCCTAGTATAAAAGTGGTGTGTGCGAGAGTGATGTTGGTGGTCGGAGGGGCTGATGGCGCAGATTGGCAGAATGAATAACGCTCTGTAAAGCGTCTTTGTGACATGTCTATGAAAAACACTATATAAATTAAAACTTACTTTTACACACAATGATGCAAGTTATATATAAGAGTGTAATTATGATGATGAGGCATTATTACACTCTGCTTTTTCCATTAAATTTCTGATATTACGCAAAATTTAAGCCATGTTATAATGTTTTTACGTCATCAGAACCATGGATAATTAGTCTGTCTACAAGTAAGTCCGACCACCACCATCACTCACACACACCACATTCATACTAGGCAAATGTGGGTGAAGTGTCTTGCCTAAGGACACAATGACCCCTGTGGCTCTTGATTTTCCCAGTGGTCTCCCATCCCAAGTACTAACCAGGCCCGGCCCTGCTGAGCTTCTGAGATCTGACGGGATCAGGCTTTGACAAAGGAGGTATGGCCAAGCTCA